ACGGGTGTTGTGTTCGATGTGATAGGTGAGGGGTGTAGTGTACGCTGTGATAGGTGAGGGGTGTAGTGTACGCTGTGATAGGTGAGGGGTGTAGTGTACGCTGTGATAGGTGAGGGGTGTAGTGTACGCTGTGATAGGAGAATGGTTCCATGTAACCCCAAGAGGACTGAGGGGGGTCTCCATAGTCAGTAGGAAGGAGGCTCCTCCCCCAGCCCCAGGGATGGTTCAGTCCGTCACAGAAAGGATCTCGCTTCTTCTTTGAGGATAATTCTTTCTTCTCTGTCCTCCATCTTGTCCCCGGACTTCCTTCTCTCATTCAGCGTCTTGGTATTTCATTGCCCACTAATGCCGTGTCTTCTCCCTGCAGGAGTGGTGATTTGCCGGCAGCATGATGTGCTCCTGGCTCCCCATTTCCGCTTTGTTCTTCACCCTTCTGCTTGGCTTCTGCCCCTGTGGTGCCGAGTTTGCCCCGGATCTGAAGTCTGTTGTCTCCTCAACAATAAGCTCCGAGAATCGTACTATTTATGGCATTGTATTTGATGCTGGCAGCACCGGGACACGAATCCACATCTACACCTTTCACCAGAGAGCTGGAGGTAAGCATGTGGCATGTGTAAGGGGCTCTGATAATTCATGGTGTTGGGAGCAGGGCCCTCAGCCGCCTATACCTATAGAGGAAGCTGCTCACTCCAAAATGTCATAGTAGGGTGGGACCCTCAACACACAGATACGTCATGGTGCTGGTTGTAGACCCTCAACACACAGATACACTACATTGCCAAAAGTATTGGGGCCCCTCCCCCTCCATATTATTGGATTCAGGTGTTCCGTGACATTTCCTGGCTACTAAACATTCCGCCGCGGTCGCCTGTTACTGGGATTATAAGAAAGTGGAAGCAACCGGGAACAACAGCAACTCAGCCAGGAAGTGGTCGGCCACGTCACATGACAGGGCGGGGTCAGCGCACGCTGAAGCGCACAGTGCGCAGAAGTCGCCGACTGTCTGCAGAGTCAATAGCTACAGACCTCCAAACTCCATGCGGCCGTCAGATTGGCACAACAACAGTGCGTAGAGAGCTTCATGGAATGGGTTTCCATGGCCGAGCAGCTGCATCCAAGCCGCACATCACCAAGTGCAATGCAAAGCGTGGGATGCCGCGGTGTAAAGCGCGCCGCCACTGGACTCTAGAGAGGAGGAGGCGTGTTCTCTGGAGTGACCAATCACGCTTCTCTGTCTGCCAATCCGATGGGCGTGTCTGGGTTTGGCGGTTGTCCAAGGGAACGGTACTTGCCTGACTGCATTGTGCTGAGTGTAAAGTTTGGGGGAGGGGGGACTATGGGGGGGTTGTTCTTTAGGGGTTGGGCTCCGCCCCTTAGTTCCAGTGAAGGGAACTCTTAAGGCATCAGCACACCAAGACATTTTGGACAATGTCATGCTCCCGACTTTGTGGGCGGAGTTTGGGGAAGACTGGGATGTCATTAGAGGGCGGAGCCAACCCAATACTGAACCCTACGGATTAAGACTGAGATGCCATTAAAGTTCATGTGCGTGTAAAGGCGTCCCAATACTTTTGGTAATAGAGTGTATTTCACGGTGGTAGTGGGCCTTGGGTAACTCGTAAGGGCATCAGGCATTTTGCTCTTTTGGTAATGATTTGTTGTGACATATCAGCATCAGCAACCAAATGGAGGCCTACACTCTCTAATGTGACACTCGCATGGCTGCATGGATGTGATATGAGGTAATATATGTCACACTTTTAATATGAGAATATATGGAACCCGAGTTCAGTTTATCTAAGTGCTGATATGTGTCATAAGTTAGAAATGTGATCAATATTTCCTGCAGTTGAATTCTGAAATGTGGAAACAAGTGTGGCTTGTATAGTCTTGTAGAGATACCCCCACCCTGGCAGTCCAATGGCTTCAGATATACCCATCTTGGCAGGTCCTAAACCCCACACACGTGCCCACTCTGGCATTCCTGCTTCCACTTCCCACCCATGATAGTCATACGTCTCCGCCATTCTACTAAAGCTCCCGGCAGTGTTATCCCTTTCCACACGTAATGCGGCTCAGTAGTGGATTGGGTCGGCGCTTGTCATGATGGTCCGCAGGTCTCCTACTCTCCTCTTTTTCCATTATTCAGGTTCTGTTCTGGAGCTGGATGGAGAAATCTTCGAGTCGGTAAAGCCCGGTCTCTCTTCTTATGCCAATCAGCCGGAGAAGGTGAGACGATCACAACTGCTTGTAGGTGACAGTGCTGGAGTTCTGTTCTTCCGGATCTGGTTCTAAGGTTGGGTCCACAAGATGTATGAGGCACTGTATGTGATCTGTATGAGGCACTACCTGTCTCGGAGATGTATGAGGCACTGTATGTAATGGGTATCAGGTAGGTGTACAATAGAGGTGGATGAGGCACTGTATGTAATGGGTATCAGGTAGGTGTACAATAGAGGTGGATGAGGCACTGTATGTAATGGGTATCAGGTAGGTGTACAATAGAGGTGGATGAGGCACTGTATGTAATGGGTATCAGGTAGGTGTACAATAGAGGTGGATGAGGCACTGTATGTAATGGGTATCAGGTAGGTGTACAATAGAGGTGGATGAGGCACTGTATGTAATGGGTATCAGGTAGGTGTACAATAGAGGTGGATGAGGCACTGTATGTAATGGGTATCAGGTAGGTGTACAATAGAGGTGGATGAGGCACTGTATGTAATGGGTATCAGGTAGGTGTACAATAGAGGTGGATGAGGCACTGTATGTAATGGGTATCAGGTAGGTGTACAATAGAGGTGGATGAGGCACTGTATGTAATGGGTATCAGGTAGGTGTACAATAGAGGTGGATGAGGCACTGTATGTAATGGGTATCAGGTAGGTGTACAATAGAGGTGGATGAGGCACTGTATGTAATGGGTATCAGGTAGGTGTACAATAGAGGTGGATGAGGCACTGTATGTAATGGGTATCAGGTAGGTGTACAATAGAGGTGGATGAGGCACTGTATGTAATGGGTATCAGGTAGGTGTACAATAGAGGTGGATGAGGCACTGTATGTAATGGGTATCAGGTAGGTGTACAATAGAGGTGGATGAGGCACTGTATGTAATGGGTATCAGGTAGGTGTACAATAGAGGTGGATGAGGCACTGTATGTAATGGGTATCAGGTAGGTGTACAATAGAGGTGGATGAGGCACTGTATGTAATGGGTATCAGGTAGGTGTACAATAGAGGTGGATGAGGCACTGTATGTAATGGGTATCAGGTAGGTGTACAATAGAGGTGGATGAGGCACTGTATGTAATGGGTATCAGGTAGGTGTACAATAGAGGTGGATGAGGCACTGTATGTAATGGGTATCAGGTAGGTGTACAATAGAGGTGGATGAGGCACTGTATGTAATGGGTATCAGGTAGGTGTACAATAGAGGTGGATGAGGCACTGTATGTAATGGGTATCAGGTAGGTGTACAATAGAGGTGGATGAGGCACTGTATGTAATGGGTATCAGGTAGGTGTACAATAGAGGTGGATGAGGCACTGTATGTAATGGGTATCAGGTAGGTGTACAATAGAGGTGGATGAGGCACTGTATGTAATGGGTATCAGGTAGGTGTACAATAGAGGTGGATGAGGCACTGTATGTAATGGGTATCAGGTAGGTGTACAATAGAGGTGGATGAGGCACTGTATGTAATGGGTATCAGGTAGGTGTACAATAGAGGTGGATGAGGCACTGTATGTAATGGGTATCAGGTAGGTGTACAATAGAGGTGGATGAGGCACTGTATGTAATGGGTATCAGGTAGGTGTACAATAGAGGTGGATGAGGCACTGTATGTAATGGGTATCAGGTAGGTGTACAATAGAGGTGGATGAGGCACTGTATGTAATGGGTATCAGGTAGGTGTACAATAGAGGTGGATGAGGCACTGTATGTAATGGGTATCAGGTAGGTGTACAATAGAGGTGGATGAGGCACTGTATGTAATGGGTATCAGGTAGGTGTACAATAGAGGTGGATGAGGCACTGTATGTAATGGGTATCAGGTAGGTGTACAATAGAGGTGGATGAGGCACTGTATGTAATGGGTATCAGGTAGGTGTACAATAGAGGTGGATGAGGCACTGTATGTAATGGGTATCAGGTAGGTGTACAATAGAGGTGGATGAGGCACTGTATGTAATGGGTATCAGGTAGGTGTACAATAGAGGTGGATGAGGCACTGTATGTAATGGGTATCAGGTAGGTGTACAATAGAGGTGGATGAGGCACTGTATGTAATGGGTATCAGGTAGGTGTACAATAGAGGTGTATGAGGCACTGCCTGTCATAGTGATACGAGTTTTGTTCTTGTTACAACAGGGGTAGCAAACCTCCGACCCTCCAGCTCTGGTGAAACTACAAATCCCATGATGCATCTCTCTCCGGGAGTCGTGGCTGTGAGAATCTTGCAATGCCTCATGGGATTTGTAGTTCCACCCACAGCTGGAAGTCCGGAGGTTTGCTACCCCTGTGTTAGAATAAGGCATGGTCACACCCGTTTTTTTTTTTGTCATCTGTGTCCCGTTGGGGAGATTTTCCATCACTTCCTGTCCTGTACCCATAACAGGAAGTCAGAGAGTAAATCTCTCCAATGTGGGGGACGCCCCCTCTATGACAGGTGTCACCCCACCGCGTGTCCCCACTGGCAGGTTACACTTCTATTTCTATTCTGGTGACAACTTGAACAGGGAGGGTGAATCTCTTTATCACGGACAGACAGCAAAAGGTTCCGACCCTTCGATGCTCCACCCAAAACTCAACACCTTGGCTTTAGATTCAGTTTGATTTGAGGTGTCTGTGTCTGTGACACGTTACCTGTAACGCTGGACTCCGGGCAGATTAAAACAAACACCGATTCACACAGACGTGTTCATTATACAACTGTTATTAAAAGCAGCCAGTGTAATCCGTCTATAGTAGAGCTCAGACTGAGAGAGAGAGAAGGGCAGGACTTGGGAGCCAATCAGGAAGCCTACACTGCTCATGTGCTAATAGGAGAAGAGAGCAGAGTGAGCCGAGAGAGGCACTCTCCTGACATGCAGTGTTATCTCTCGCAGGGTGCAGATGCTGTGCGTTCCTTGCTGCACTTGGCACAGGACGCTGTTCCGTCTTCTCACTGGAGCAAAACTCCCGTCATACTGAAAGCTACTGCCGGCTTCCGACTGCTTCCTGTGCACCAGGCTGAAGGCCTGCTATCCGGGGGGAGGGGGGTACATTGGTGGGGAGGGGGGTGTATGGCCTGGGTACATGACGTTTGTACAGTGGTGGGGAAGAGGATGTACTTTGGGTACATGCCCCGGTTTCTTACCATGAGTACATGTCTTTGGTACATGGGGTGGGTACATGGCCTGGTTTCTTCCCCTGGGTACATGGGGTGGGTACATGGGGTGGGTGCATGGCCTGGTTTCTTACCCTGGGTACAAGGGGTGGGTACATGGGGTGGGTGCATGGCCTGGTTTCTTACCCTGGGTACAAGGGGTGGGTACATGGGGTGGGTGCATGGCCTGGTTTCTTAC